GCCCGCAGGAGGCGCCCGCCCTCGGTGGGGCCCGCGGAGCCTCCCCGTGCCCTGGAGGCCTCGAGGCTGCCGAGCGTCGCCGTGGGGGGGGGCCGAAAACCGGGCCACAGGGCCGGCGTTGCGGGATACCCCTCGACCCAGGGCCGGGCAGGCTCAGGTGTCTCCCGGGTTTCCGCGTGGGCCCGCACTGGAGCCGGTTGTGCTGCCCTTGTCCGCTCGTGGGGTGGCGTTGGGACAAGGGTGCTGAGTGTCCCCAGCGAGCCGTGCAGGGGGAGCGCAGCTTTGTGCCCCCAAAATTGCTCATTGTCACCCTGAGTGGCAGGGGCTGGAGGTGCCTCTGTCTCTCTGTCACCCGTGACAGCCAAGTTCACTTGTTTTCTAAGTTATGCTAAACATCCCAGAGAAAGCTATTTTGTGGAATAGGTCTCACCTTTAATGTGAAAACACCATTTTTCTGAGGAAAAATGTTAAGTAGAATGAAGCTTACAATTGATTTCATGGTGTCACATACACAAAAGAAAAAAAGAATCTAATTACTCAGACTGTGTTCTAACATCAGTTAAATTTGTAAACAAGTTTTCCATGCTTTTCTGATTCACTTCCTTTGCTAGTTAGGAAAATGACTCATCAGTGAGTTTCAGGATGCTGAATCCCACCTATGGAGAGGACCCTTCTTAACTTCTCTCACCTGTGCCTCATTAGCCCAGCTGGGTGTTGTGGTTTTTCACATTATTTTATTAGCAGTAGTAGGCTATAGAGCAAAGTCACTTTTCTTCATGGTAAGTATGTGAGATTTTATTGATTAAAAATGTAGGTTGAGTTTGTAATGTGCTTAAAATATTTTAAAAGAATGTGGTTGGAATGTATTATTGCTAGAAGAAAAATATATTTATTTACTTGGAGAATTATTATTAAATAAATAGATAGGGATTTTTAGTAACTTCCTTACTGAGCTAAGCTATACTTCAGAAATACCTGCTGTAGATATTCTTAATGGTGTTTTGATAGATAAGTCTAGGATATCAATGAATTTTCTTTTAGGTATTTTCAGGGGAAAATAGACTATAACATGTCTGGAGCTGGGCTGCAGGTCACCTTGAGTGTGTGTGGGGCTGACCTGTTTGTAACAGAACTTCAGTACAATCCATATACGTTAGTAATTTTAGTTCCTTGAGTGGTCATCATCTTTTCTTGTGAAATATCATTCACAAGAATGATATTTTTTGTGAAAAAATATCATTGTGAAATATCTTCTTGAAAATTCAGGAGTTGGAGATTGAAACTCTGAGTAGCGTTCTTGAAAACCCCTTGTGTATTGTTTGTTTTTTGTGCTAACTCTGCAATATATACACCAGATACATACTTGCTTTGCATCATCATAGCCTAAGCAAGCCATCATTTTTGTGGGCTAGTTCTGCCTTAAATAAGAGTATGTATGATGTAGGTCTTTCCTAGTGATATCTGGGCTTGCTTCTTTTTTTTTCAATGGTTCCTTTTCTTCTAAGAACACATTTTTAAGTGGGGGAAAAAAAAGAGGAATGAACCACTTGATTAATAATATTGTCTTCCTGATTTTCTGTGTGCTTGAAAAGCATTGGGTTAATGACCTAGAAAGAACAAATTTAAGTAAGACTGGATGAACTGAGGAACAAGATGGATTTCAGCAGAAATTTTGTGAAAGCATTTTCTCTCTTTTTTTTTTTTCTTAAGTTGAGAAAGCTTTTTAGACAGTTTGAAACATTTCAGTGAGTTTTATGGAACACAGTGACCTTAGATGGAAAGCAGGAAAGCAGCCTTGAGTGGGTGGTACTGCAGCAGTCAGTGATATGCAGGGAGAGCAATAGCTTCCTCTCGTGCAGTATTTGCCCAGTATCTCTTACTCACAAGGGCAACAGTGTGAGTCTGTGCTGAGAATCTAGCACAGATGACAAAGATTCCCATGATGATGGTCTGACTTTCTCATTTAATAAATTTAGAAGAGCATTAGAGCATTAGAAGAGCAGAGCTTTGGTGTGTGAGCGAAAGGCACTAGGATACCAGCCCTTCATTGTGTTATCTGTACTGCACACTGCCTGGTCCCCATATGTAGGTCTGTCCAGGCCATAATTTTGTCCGTGTCTGCTTGAAAAGAAGATGTAGGGAGGGGAAGAGGGCAAGGAATATCAGCAGCAAAATCAATATCTCGCCAAAGGAGAAAAAATCATTTGGGGTTCTCTTCAGAGTACAAGAAAACAGAGATGGTATTAAATTTCCCAGCCAAGAGCTGCTGCTGTTTATGGCCTACAACAGTGCAAACTATTTTTTTTTCACCTTTAAATGAGGCCTTCTTGTAAAAGCTAAAAAGATACAGGGTCAAGATCCTTCTTTATCTCTGCTCTACAAATGATTAATCCAATGGTGAAGGTAACACATCCCAAGTCTAGGAATCATTTCTTTCTGTCTTATTGCAACGCAGGTCAAGAACAAAGTGTACTTTATATCAGGGGAGGGGAAGGAAAGCAAATAGCTTCGAGATCAAGTGTACATCAGGCAACATATTCTACCACAGGTAAAGAGAAAAAGACACTATTTTTTTTCTTTCTAAACCATAAGCAGTGAGGACTTAGGCTCCGGGAGGTACCGGGCTCTGGCTGAGCCTGGATGGGGGCGGGACCGGGGCTCCGGGAGGAGCCAGGACGAGTGGCCGTCCCCAGGGTGCCTGTCCCCAGGTACCTGGCACGGGCACCTGGCACGGAGCGAGCAGGGCCAGGCCGCACTCCTGGGCCGGCAGGTAAGGGGCTGGTGTCCGCGGGTCGAGGGCTGGGGGCTGTGCCACACTGCCACTGTGGCTATGCGGGTTCTGCCCGGGTTTCTGGGGTGATTTCCCCAGCAGCGGCTCTGTCACTAGGGGCTTGGCTCTAGGGAGGTGCTCGCCTGTGGAGACAGCAGTGGTCTGAGCAGAGGTTGCGCCAGCGCTCTGGTGGTGGGGCTGGAAGTGGTTTCCCCACCCCTCAGGACTGGCAGAGGCACCTGGAAAGACCCAGGAGGCTCCTGCAGTTTTCTAGTGCTCGCTGCTCATTTAGAGGAATGCACCGTCTGGGGCTGGGCTGCGTGGGCCCACGCAGATGCACCCTGTGTCCGCCGGCCCGGGGCGAGCAGGCCCCCGGAGCGGCGCCTCATGGCACACGCAGCCTTGGCTCCCCTTAGTCACAGAAGAGCTTTTGTTCTCTCCCGCTGGAAGGGTTGAGCCCATGCAGGATCAGCTGTCACAGTAATTTTCATCTGGCGCTGATATGTTTAGCCAGGATGCTGCTCCTCATGTGCGAGGCATTGTGGCCTTGCTGGGCTCGCTTGCAGTGAGATGCCTGTTCTTGCTTTGCTATACCTCGTGTGTTGGACAGTGCTTGCTGGTGGATGGTGCAGCTCTTCAAACAGCAGGTTGCAGTTTTCATAGTTGCAATAGGTGATGAGAAGCCAAAAGCATCTCGTTAAAGAGGCAATAAAGTTTCTTGTCTAAACATTCTTGTTTTTCCTGGTCAAACATTCTGCCAGTCCCTGAGAATGCGTGGGCTCACAACCCAAGTGTCATCCTTTTTTTTTTCCACCTCCAGCATTACCTTTTTCCATCAGGCCCTAGTCTACAGAACACTCGATGTAAATAAAACCCGAGCCTAGTGGTGCAGCTCTTCAAACAGCAGGCTGCAGTTTTCATAGTTGCAATAGATGATGAGAAGCCAAAAGTGTCTTGTTAAAGAGGCAGTAAAGTCTCTTGTCTAAACATTCTTGTTTTTCCT